AAAGTAATGAATGTGGTCACATATTATATTATAATTATTAAGCTTAAGAAAAGAAATTAAAGAGATGCGTTATGTAAATTCAAAAAAATATATATATAAAAAATTCGAACATAGGGATGCAAGGTAACTCACCTGATTTTTATGTCRAAATTCAAAAATAAAAAATATTCTCTAAATTTTTAATGATGTTTTTGGATGTAATATCTCGAATATCTCGATACATCACAATTGTTTTGTACATCCTTAATAATAATAATATGACTAACGTAAAATATTTAGTTCTTGTCACTAAATTAGTATTGAAATACATGCAATGTACAAGCGTACCTACTGTGCACAACTACATTGTCTATGTATTAAAACGCATATTATTATTGTACCTATTAATAATTAATGTACCAATTTTTACAATTTTAACATTTTGCAATAAGAGTCTAAATTAAGATCACACAACCTGTTTTTAGAAAATTWAAGTTTTGGAATCATTCCAATGTTTGTTGTTTTAGCGAATATATTACTGATTCTACCGATTGATAGAATTGGACCACATAATATGGATAGTATTATAATTCATAAGTTCTAAGTAATAATAATTCTAATTTATAATATAAATATTATACAGTAGACAGTTGAAAATGGCAGCATCACATTTAAGGATGAAATAGAAAAACGATTAATTAGCAATTTAAATTTTAAAAGTTGTGCATTTTTAATAATAGTTTATTTATTTATTATTATTGCATACATTTATAAGAATGTGCAACATTTTTTCTTAGGTTTATCAATCAACAACGCATAATACTGTGTATAATTTATTGTTGGTTCAAAAACTATTTATTTTAATCAATAAAATTATAATTATATACATTGGTAAGATTGTAGTCGCCTTATATCGTAATTGAAAGTGTTTAATAATATTTATATACACTTGTTACTTTTTGTGATTCTTATTAATTTAGATATTTTGGATCATAAATCCCAAACTACTCTCTGTACGTAATACTAAATGGCTATCATATTGATATATTATCTAAGAATAATAATAATAAGTTGATTATGAACATGATAGAATGATAATATCTACATGGTTACATGYCACCCACRATTCCTACTGTTGACAGTGTATTACTGTTATAGTGTCATGATATAAAACTAGCCATTGGATAATRTTTGTATAATCAGTGTACCTATATTTATATTATATTTTCTAGCTCCATTATAAATTAAA